GTGACAATTTAGATGGTTTAGTTCCCGGGACCTCAACCCAATCAGTAACGCCTGTTTGCCGCCATGAATCCAAACATCTGCAGAGTGAACGTGAAGTTAGAATAAGTACAAATCTGCCAGTGTTGTCGGATGGACCTGTAGATTGTAGCAGCAGCAACACAACTATTACGCAGGGATTGGTTAAGCAAGGCTCGTCGCAGTGTCATGGTGCGCACTTGTTAGATCTTGTGCTTCCAACTTACAGCGACCGTTCTAAACAGATTCGGTTCGGCTCCCGATTGCTTTTAAGTCAGAAACGGATGGCTATGCTAAACAATGGTGCATGGCGATACACAAAGATTTGAAGAGTTATGAGCCGTTCAAGGTCGCCATAACCCAATTGTTGTAGAATTAGCAGATACAAGCGACCGAGCGAAGTTCGCTGTACCAGGACAAGTTTGACAAGAACAAAGAAAGCATGTCGGAACACTTCTTGAGATATGCCTGATTAGCAAAGAATCTATCGCCGGCATTGTCCGAGGCAGACTTAATAGAGGCGTTGACAGCCCATTATCCCGTGTACGTTCATAGATCGTTTTTGTCGGCGAGCGTGAGAACAGTACAGGAGGCGCTGAATAAGTTTCAGGCGATGGAGTTTGCTGTGTTGAGCAAGGGGATAGGTTACAAAACTTGTAAGTTTGGGGTGTGGTGTTTGTTATGAATTTGGATTTGCTTGCAAAAATCTCATGCCCAGTAGATGACAGTTAGATTTGTTTATTTATTTGGCTGGATTCTTTCTTTTTCGACTGCAGTGCTTTGAACACGTGGTTTTGGTTAAAGATTGTTGACCTGGAAATGAAATGATATGTCTGTTTGGTGTTGGTTGACCACCTTGGCTGCTCCCTCATAAATATATTTTTACATAACCCCTCCTTCCTCTCATCTTGGGCTCCCATATCGCACCCATGAAACCCTCTGTAATTTTTTAGAGAGCTATATCCATTTCGTTACTTTTATTTCATTCCCATATCCCAAAGAAAATATTACCCGCAAACGCAGACACATTCATGTGAAAACCCATGGGCGTGTCCCTGACACAGCCACACCCTGACTTTCCCCTTCACTTTGGATGTGTTACCTTTATTTTCTGCCTCGGACATTGATGTTGCACTTGATGGTATACCAAGTGTTATTATTAAGGGTTCTGAAATCCTTGCTACTATTTTTAAATTTATTTTCAATTTTAGCTTCTCTCAGCAACAATTTCCCACTTTGTGGAAACAAGCAGCTATTGTTCCAGTTTTCAAAAAAGAAGACAAAACTGTTTCTGTTATAAACTATAGACCTACTACCATAATTAATAATGTTTCCAAAATATTTGAAATTATTGTACATACCATGTTTCTTATAATTTTAATTCTAAATGAATCCCTTGTCAACATGGTTTTAGTAAATCCAAATCCACCACTTCTAATCTGGTTACGTTTTTGGATTTATTTTCCCCTATAGCTTGTTCCCAGTCTCAAGCTGATGCATTTTATGTTGATTTTATCATTTATTTACTTCCATCATTTTGTTTTCTATATTACTCCATATTTATTAATGTTTTCTTTAAATCATTGCTTTACAGACTAATAATGAACATCAGATGAACCACGCCATATAAAAAACAATACCTTCGTTCTAATATATAAGAGTAATTCTGATAAGAACATCTTCCATAAACTGCATAACATTGTAAAGGATTGTAATTCGAGTTTTAAATTTACCAATCTAATTTATACCTGAAGACGGTTAAATATAACCGAAACATGTCGTAAGAGACCTTCCAATTTCTAAATCGATCATTCGATGCGGAACGTGAAATGATATTTTAAATATTTTATATTTTATTATCTTATTAAAATTGTGATTTGACGGAAAATATTAAAATATTAA